TCTCATAAGAAGTCATAGACAACTTAGAGTGCGACAACCTATTCAAGATGTGATTAGCAGTTAGAACTGCTTCTCCCCAATAGGAGGAAGGCATGCCAGCTGTAAGTAATATAGAGTTTAACATTTCAGTTAATGTCCAATTATTGCGCTCGGCAACACCATTTGATTGGGCTGAGTAAGGAGCAGTGGTTTCAAGTATTATGCCCTCCGAAGCGCAAAATTCCTTGAACCCTGTCATTATGTACTCTCCTCCTCTATCACTCCTAAACCTCTTAATTTTCAAGTTGAGTTGATTTTCTACTTTGACTTAAAAATCTAGAACCTTTCAAAAACTTCATCTTTCGATTTCAACAAATAGACATGACAATATCTAGAAAAATCGTCTATGAATATTATTAAGTACTTCTGACCACCTCTAGTAATATAATTTCTAAAGTCACAAAGGTCAGAATGTATTAGATCAAGAAGTTGTGTGCTTTTAGAAACCGACTTAAAATATTTTTTAGTGATCTTAGTTTGTGCACATACTTCACATTTGTCAAATCAAATAGAAGCATTTAATGAAGTATCAAGAGTTTTAGCTAGATGTTGCATTTTCCTGTAGTTCACATATTCAAGTCTATTATGTAACAAATTTGGATCAAGATTGAACTCACATGGTTTATGCTGACAGTATCTAAACTTAATCTATAAATACCATTAATCATGAATGCACAACCAAAATAACAAGAGTTAACAAATAAAGTTACTCTACCATTCATAGTTGAGAAAGGCATACAAGCTTTATCAAGCAAAGATACCAATTTCCTTTTAAGTAAAAGTACTACTCTAACTTGTTTTAGAGTTAGTAGTTTACTAGAAGAAAACACCAAATTTATAGTTGAGAAATACATATCATCTTTATCAAGCAAAGATGTCAATTTCCTTTCAAGTAAAGGTACTACTCTAACTTATTTTAAAGTTAGTAATTTACTTGAAAAAAAGCACCAAATTTGCAGTTCCAACATGAGTCACATCTGTCTCATTACCACTGCAATTTTCTACGGTGTCTTTCACTTCTATGACCTTAGTAAGTAAATTCCTATCATTTGTAGTATGACAGGTAGCACCTCTCTCCAACCACCACTCAGAAGAGACACTAGCCTTTCCATTCTTCATCATTCCAATGAAAGCTTGAGGCTCAGGTTCATTATTTAACTTATTAGCCTCATTTTGTGGTGTGTTATTCTTTAACTTATTTGGTAGCTTACATTCTACTGCTCAGTGATCCCACTTTCCATAATTATGGCACTTGTCCTTCTTCTTTTAAAATAGTATTTTTGGCCTCTAACTATGAAGATGATTCACTTTTTGGTGACTTGGAATTCTTTTGAGGTTTATTGGAATATGAAACTAAGTAGGCAACTAACTTTTGTTGTCCTATTTGTTCCAAACTCTTCTTAGAATAATTTTGATCCTTGATATAAATAAACCTCTTTAATTTATCCAGTTCACTCTATTCTTTCAGTCTGTGCATTTCAGTCTTAAAAGAACTCTATTCAGCAAGTAGCTTACTCAACACAAGATCGACAAAGAGATTATCAGACATATTAGATTTATCATCTTTAAGCTTGTTCCTCACGTCCACTAATTTAATTAATTAAGAGGTGATTCTTGAATCCATATTAAATTCGAATTAAAAAAAGAATTCTCTGCTAAGAGAGTTTTGGAGAACCCCTCTTGTTTTTGGAACTAAGCATTCAAATGATCTAATATCTTTTTCGTCTTCTTATACTCACTACAAGTCATAGCTAGACAAAGATTTAGCAAGTAATCCATACAAAATCTCCATCTTTGTTCTATTGATATTTATACACATTTTTTAATTGTAGATGCAAAATCTTTTAATACATTATGGAATATTTCACGTTCTTTCATGCCAAATTGAACATGTAATTTCTAACCATAAAATTTAATAACATCAATGATTGCATTTTAAAATATCATAGGAACTACGTTTAGCCATTTTTAATCAGAGCTTAGAGTTAGAAAGAGTGTACCTTGTAGTTCACAGACTTCACAAATTAAAGCAAAGTCTCTAACTTTCATCAAACTGCTTTGTAGACTTGGAATTTGTCAAAACAGACCCCAAAAATAGATCTGGAGCGCCCAAAAACCTTAATATGGACTACCCCTGTTGCCAGAAACTCACCGAAACATTTCCTTATTATTGAAATGTCCCCAACGGAATATTCCCTCAGAATATTCCTTTTCGCAAGAATATTCTTTTTCGCATAAAAAAAGTGTACCTAAAACTTCAAATGGTCATATCTCCTTCGTTCGATCTCCGTTTAAGGCGAGTGACCACTCAAAATGATCGTCTCGACGAGTAGAACAAAGCCCATTAGGTTTCACTTTCTGAAAATGGCCTAAATTTTTGGGATCTGGACCGAAAAGTTGCGGCTCCAGTTTCTTCAAACTCAGATCCCGGTAAATCCTTCCGTCGAATCGCGAAAGTGATTTAAAATATGAGTTCCACTCGATGAGATCTTCGAATAGACACCTTACTCGCTCAAATCCGACACACGAAGCTAATTCTTCAAGATTGTTGGAGGTTATGAGTTTGAGAGAGAAGGGTTTAGAGGTGCTTGAAGTATTACATCAAGAGACATCAAGTTTAGAATGCTCAACAGTGTTACCTCCAGCTTAGGAAACCCTAGAGATAATGCAAGCTGTTGGGCTCCAGCCCATATGGACCCAAATAACCATGCTTTCACCTATTGGGCTTATATGTGAACATATTATTGGATTATATTATTAATATATCCAACAAATCCTTCCTCAACTTTCTTTGTGGTGGCTGCATATATTTTTGGAGAAAAATTTGAAGTTCTTTGAGAAAGAATTTAGGGTTTCATTGTGGTAAACTCAAATCAACTCTTATTCTTGGTTAATACTTCTGTTTGAATCCTATATTTTGAAATCTTGAAGAATTTTAGTTAAGCATGTTAAATCTGAATTTTTGATTTCATGGAGGCATATTGTGTTTAATTCATATTTTCTTGTGGTTCTGTGTTAGAAGATTAATTCTGGATTTTATGTGAAATTTTGAGAAAAATTCTGAATCTGATTTTTCCATGATATTTTCTGTTTAAATCAGATTTCTTGGTACCCAATGATTAGAAAATTAATTTTGTAATATCTAATCTCCTTGGTGCATTAATTTTAGAGATTTTGATACATATGTCATTGGCTTAATTTTCTGCATATAGCATAAATTTGTGGAGCTTAGTTTGATATTACTGTGATATTTTGGTGTGATAGGACACTGTATTTTTGGGTTATTTCACTTTTGTTGCAGTTCTGAAAAATTCTGTATTGGTTGTTAAAGTGGAGTAGTTGCCTGCTGTAAATCTGTCCTAGGTTTGTGGATGCAACCGTGTGGGTTGGCGACCTTGTGCTTGGCTTGAGAGTGTGTCTCAAGGCTTGGAGCCTCAAGAATCCACGAGGGAGAGTGGAGGTCTTGTGTGAAAGGAGTTGGTGAACTCCGTAGGTTTGGCTTGAGAGTATTCTCAGAGCTTGGAGCAGTGTAGGCACTAGGAAGGTTTTTAGTATTTTGTTTGATTGCTTGTGTGACACATGTTTGTAAAACAGGTACACTTGTGATAAATAAAATATCTGTAGCGACTTCAGTCTGGACGTAGCACCCTACTTAGGCTTAGTGAGTGTGAACCAGGATATATCGTGTGTCTCTTGTCTCTCTAATTTAATTTCTGAATATTCTATTTGAGACAAAAAGTAACACAGCTTCTGGTTTGTTATTGTTTCTGTTGTAGCAATTTTTTGATATATTTTGAAAGTGTTGTAGTACCTTATAGATTCTATTATAATTGCTGTAGCACTTAAATTGTTTTTTGATATTTGGAAATTAATCATTTTCTGTTTTAAGTAAAAAAGGTTGTTGCTGCATTTGCAAAATAAAAGGTCAGATACATTTTCTATTGATATACATCATATAGAAATCATTTTGGGCATTTAGGGATCTACGGTAAAATTAGTAAAATTGTTATATCTGTGTGACTGTTATCTGGACTGAACTTACGAAATAAATTGATAACTGTCAATCTTGTTGAGTTGGTGTGGTGATTGAACTTAATAGTTTAACTTTGTCTAGACTTTACAGATTTAAGAATCTATTAAGAAAAAGTTTTTTGAAAAATTTGAAAACACCTATTCACCTTCTCTAGCTGTTCTCCCGCATCCTCCTATAAATAAGCCACTTGCCCAATATTTATCTGTCGTCTTGTGATAGATAAAGGAATAAGAACAATGGGAGGTAGATCGAATGCGGAAAATTAATTTAACGGGGGAAGAAAGAAAGTCACCGCTAACATATTACTATTGACTTCACACGCACGTTAGACAAAGCTGAAGGCATTGACTTTTAACTTCTTAACCAATTATTAACAACCGTAGACAGTGTTTTCAACAATTCTTACATCAGGTGATCAAATTTGTCAAATGACAACATCGTTGCTACAGAGTCTGGACCCTCTATCAATTTGAGCATGACCATCTTGGGACTAATTATTGATTCGGTACTGAGTTTTTTATCTTTGCAAGTAGAGGTGTGAAAGAAAGAAAAAATCAAAAACAATCAAACCGAATCGAATTGCACCAAAAGATTCACATTATTTTAATTGGTCAAAAAATTAAATTATTTTGTTGGAACCGGTTTGAGAATAAAAAGAATCAAATCGATTTTTTTTCCTTAATCAGTTCGGTGAACCGAATCAAATCATTAAAACCGGTTTGAATCGGTTTGACATATAGAAACACATGCTCCTTCCATTAAAAATATGACACTTGGATTTTAAAAAAAAAAATTCTTCTTTCCTCCTTGCACATATCATACTTTCTACTCGTTTTTTATTGATCTGTCCCACCGAGTGAATGGTGCTCCTAGAGCACTGTAATAATTTCGCAAGAAAAGAATATCTCAGGTAAAATCGGAAGTCAGTGTACAATAATGAAATATTCAAATTATTATACAAAGATGAAAGCAAAATGGCCAGCCAATTACACTATAGAACCAATCTACAAATCCAATAAATGGATACAGTCTCAACTCTCAATATAAATAATATAGACTGAAACATAAATCTCATATGTATAATCAGAAATCACATATTTACTACTCCGGATCAAATGATGAAAGCCAAGCCAATGGACAAGAGTGTAACCATATATCCACATATAACCATAGATGGGGCAGAGCTGAAAGGTGCAGGAGCTGAAGTTGAAGGTCCAAGGTAAGTGGGAGATAAAGCACTTTCTGGGGAAAGGGCAGTACCATTGAAACTAGTGACATTAATAGCTAGCTTCTGTCCCAAGGCACAGTGGTGTTTGTAAGTGCTTGTGAAGAAATGTTCACCAGTGGTTTTAAGAATGATTCTTGTTGGACTACTTGTATAAACAGCAAGAGTATTGTTTGTTTCACACTTCTCATAAGCTTCTTTGGTGACCACAGCAACATCTTGTGTTCCATTTAGGTAGTAAAAAACTGCAATACAAGGAAAATTAGTAAGTGATCACATCAGTTAAGGAAAACAAAAGAGGTAGAGAGATTAAAGGGTGTAATTTTTTTGCAGTTTACCAAGACTGTCTCCAATTATAAATGTTTTCCCATAAGCCCATGTAGCATATGCAATTTCACCACCTGGGGGTACTAACCACCCCAACTTGTCACCAACAGTGTAGTTGAGTAATCCTCTAGGAGCAGGTGAAGGACCAGAACCATGTACATGAATGGCTAACTTTTGACCCTCTAAGCAGTGTTGGTCCAAGGTGCTAATGAAATAGTAATCACCAGCAGTATCCAAGGTGAAATTTGCAGGACTAGTCTTCTTAAGGGAGATTGGGTTTGTTGTGTTGCAAATTAGGTATGCTTCCTTTGTGACTCTTGCTACATCTTGCTCCCCATTTGTGAAATTGAACACTGAACCAAAAAAATGAATTAAAAACTCAAGTTGACTTAGTAAGAAAATAAGCATATTTACAAAGTTAATTATTAATAAACATGGAAGGTGTATCTAATGCTGCTTACATAGAATGTCTCCAACATTGAAATCCTGCAATGATGCCCAAGCATCATAAACTATGGGGACACCAAGAGGTATTCTCCATCCCAAGTCACCTCCAACAACATGCACTTTCTCTGCATCTGTATTTTGCAACAAAGCACATACCACCAAGGTCATAATGACCAATTTCATGTTATTCCTAAAAGCCATTTTTTTTTTGTTCCTTCACCTTGTGTCCCTAGCTTAACATGCTATCTTTTTATATATAGACATATCATTTATAAAACCAGAACAAATTAGTGAAAATGTTTGTTAATAGGTGATGTTGACTCAAGCTCAAATTAACAAGCAACTAAATACAATTTCTCTGCAACAAGTTCATCCATCATTGGTCAATATAATTTTGGTCTTAAACACGATTTTCTGGATGTTATCTTGTCAAATTTTTAACCATTGTGTCATGATCAAGGACCTTGGTTGTCACATGTGGACAAAGAAAGAAAAATTACCAAAAGATTTTTAAAAGCCGTGTCCTTGACCCTTTCTATGCTTCTAGTTAATAAAATAATTTGTTCTCATGCAATATTTCAAACCCCAACACTCCAATATTGTTGAAACATTGCACTTAGTTTATAATAAATTTGCGTATTGATTATTCCAAATTTGCTCCTAGAAGCTTCTTTTCTATTATAGAGAACATTACTCGGACTTTTTCATCGCAGACAGACAAAAAAATAATTAGTTAGATCTTTAACAAAATTTAATTAAATTTATGGGCGGTTATTAGATAAATAAAGTCATCAGTTCTATTAAGTAATGATAAAATAATTCTAAATATCTAGCATTTTGATTATGGTTCGCTTTTTCTACCGTCAATATAGATAACTTATCTTATCTACATTGAGCCCAAAACGAAGTCGTTTTGAGTCAGAAATGAGGTATTTTTGCAATTATAATTTATTTCAGGATTATAATAGTCTTTTTCATTATAATTTTTTAATTTTTCAACAAAAAACGACGTCATTTTGGGAGCGAATGTAGATAACTTATCTACATCCACTGTTCAAACATTAAATCCTTTGCTTATAATATATTTAGCATAAAACTGCATTGCATAGACTTATTAATAATTATGTACACATGTTTACTATATCCTTTAAATAACATGACCATATATAAGATTAAATATGCTAATTAAGATTTGATAGAAATTTAATCATATAAGATATGGTAACTTTGTTGAATTACTAGCCATAGTTTAATTAGCTCTTTGACCCATTGGGGTTTTTTGAGATTTTAATATACCAATTTGGTATTTGATTTATGGTATTTATCAACGGGGGGTCATTGAGTGACGCGAGAGGGACCTAGCGGCACTAAGTGTTGCGAACCACCCCTGCGTCACTCACACATTCATTTTTTTTTTTCCAATTGAGTGGCACCCCCTCCCCAGAACTCATAGAATTGTGCCACGTGGCACAATCTAGTTAATTCTGTTACCGTAAAATTTCGAAAAACAATAATTTTTAACTCGGGTATCCAAATCAAATGATTTTTTTTATTTCACATAACTTTTCGGGATCTACGTAATGACACCTCATTTGACATATTTTATCTTCTATTAATACAGTTCAAATTTGCAACAATAGTTTCACATTTTTACAAATTCGAACTATGTTTGTGAGAGATAAAATATGTCAAATGAGATGTTATTGCGTAGATCTCGATAAGTTATGTGAAATAAAAAAAAATCATTTGATTTGGATACCCGAGTCAAAAGTTATTACCTTTCGAAATTTTATGGTAATGGGACTAATGAGACTGTTGACGTGACACAATCTTATGAGTTCCCCAGGGAGAGGGGCGTCACTCAATTGGAAAAAAAATGAATGTATGTGTGACGCGAGGATGGTTCGCGGAACTCAGTGCCGCTGGGTCCCCTCATGTCACTCAACGACCCCCATTGATAAATATCGTGAATCGAATACCAAATTGAAAAATTAAAGGGGTAAAAACCTCAAATGGGTTAAAGAGCCTAGTTTAATTAAGGGTTTAGTGTTTGTCTTTTTAAAGGATATGGAGTTATATCATTTTAAGTGAGAGAAAGACACAAACAATGGAAATTACAAGAGAGAAAATTATTGGTTTTTTTAATTTAAATTTTAAATAAAAAATATTAAGTTGTGTCTTTCTCTCACTTAAAATGGAAATATAGCTCGCCTTTCACTGCAAAAAAAATTTCTGCATCACAAATATATAAAGTTAGGATTGCATGCGGATCCTGATTTTTTTTTTTTTTAACTCCAAGATCCGTCGGCGGATCCTAATGTAAATGTGTTTGCTGCAAAATTTATCATCTATAGCGATATAAGAAGTGACCAATCCTAGTTTAATATAGTTAAATATGGTAACAGTTCTTATTTTAAACTATTTGTAATTATGAATGTAATTATTTTAATTTGCATTGATCGATTAATATATCAAATACAGAGGTTGCTTTGATTAGTTGCATTGGTCATTCCTTTGTGATCCAGAGTCATATAGGGCGACTGAATGAGGAAATTTTCATGAAATATGCAAAATTCAAAATCAGCATTTTGAAGACCGAAAAGGTTGTTCTTTAACTAACTTAAAGACCAAAGATCAGCGTGACGGTCTCATTTGTTCTTTTTGTTGTGGTGTTGATTCATATTATTACGAAATGGTTACAAATATGAAATCTTCCTCCACAACAGTTCAAACTTCAATTTTATTCTTTCATATCCAACGAAAGACGGACATATCTAACGTAAAAAATTATTTTAATCCAAAAACTTAATTGGTAGGTAAAGTTTATATTAATAATTTTTATATTATATCTCTAACACATTTCCTTATACAAGTTTTCATTAAGCTTGAAGAGTGGCTAATATATATATATATATATATATATATATATCCATCTCCTTATGCTAAAAAACTTTATACTATTTACTTATTTATCAATAGATAGAGACGATGATGATCGAACTCGTGACCAGTCGATCATAAAAGCTCTGATATTATATAAAAAATTATTTTAATCCAAAAGTTTAATCTATTATGTATAAGGTTATATTAATATATATTTTTTGGGTATACCAACCTTCATTACCTCTTTGAGGTGAGTTGGTCACCGGGTATCCTAATAAATTTTAACTCTTTGAGCTGGCTACAATGCTTTGTCACAATTAAAGCTCTTCGTCCATTCCTAAATATATATTTGATGAGAATCGAACTCAGATTCTCTCCCCACTTTTATATTATACCTCTAACAACTAAGAAAAAAAATATAATAGGAAGTCTAATTAGAGTGGTGAAAAAACGAACTCTAAATTAAAGTAACTTAAACTAGTTATTAAAAAAAATTCAGAACAAACTTGGAAAATAAGCAACAAGTAGTGTCAAATATAAATTGATGGGCCTTGAATAAATAACCAAGCCCAATTTATATTTCCAAAGTTAGGTAACAACTCAACCGCATTCTACTGGCGAACTTTCCATCTAGGAAATAGAAATTGATGACATATATTCAACTGATGATTTTAGGTTTCATTAGTTTTATATAAAGGAGAAAAAGTGATTTACGACAATCTTTTAGTTGTCATTTACTCATTATGTAGAACTACTGGTCTCTTGCACCAACTGTACTTTAAATAATGAACCTAAAAAGTCCATTAGTTTATAAACTAAGAGCCTGTTTGGATTCTCTTATTTTTAAGTTAGAAGCTACTTATAAGCTAAAGCTAAAAAAAAGAGCTTAAAAAAATAAGCTAAAAGCTGTTTGGAAATTACATAAAAGTTTTAGCTTAAAAATTAATTAAAAGCACATATTTCAAGAAAATTATCTCTCTCTTTCTCTTTATCACTCTTCATTTTAAAAAAAAGCACACAATTCAAGAAAAATAGATAAGAGCTTAAAAAAAAGCTCCTCCTAGGAGCTTTTAGTTTTTCAGCTTTTTTCTTCATTATAAAAAAAAGAGCTTTTCGTTATAAGAGCTTTTCTCAAAACCTGTTTGGCCTAGCTTATGCTTATAAGTAGCTTCTAGCTTAAAAATAAGAGGATCCAAACAGGCACTAAATATCTATGTCATGATTCTTGTATGGCCAATAAGAAATGTGTTTTGCTTCAGCAAGTAAACACAAGTATATCTTATTTAAATATGGTTAAATTTACTGAGTTTTCATTGCATTTTTCATTTATAATTTAGCACGTGTCTTACTTTTATCAAATTATTAATAAATAATTATTGAGATACAAAACTTAATGCATCCGTAACACCGAAGAAATTTTCAAAAAAAAAATGATAATACATACTCCAATCCATAGTAACAATTATTGAGATACAATAGGAGCTAATGAGACACATTTATGAATAGGTGAACATTCCCACCCTACATCTTTGCTATAAGATACCATAAAGTGCTTAGGAATCCAAGTTTCTTCTTTTGACTCTCTTTCTCTAATGAGCTCCTTCTTTCTTTCCTGCACTACTTGCTTCGCTTCTCTTGCTTTATCCCATTCTTTGCTCATAATGGCTTGGCTCAATTCACTCCATACATGGGCCGATTCTGTTGGCCACACACACTGATCAACAAGAGATTCCCATATCACATTCAAGAAAACATGACACATAAATTAGTTTAATGGTTTGATGTGTATGAAAATACCTAAATATGCTTCTTTCTTTTTATAAGATAATGGTGCTCATATTTGAACTCATGCAAATTATCCAAGTCCAAAATCTAAGTAATCATGAAATAAACAATAGCCCTGTTTTTCATTTTTAGTATTATGATACCTCAACATACACATTAATCTTCCCCATCAGAAAAGGCTTTTCAGGGTATGCCACAAAGATTTTGATTCATACTAATAAATAAGAGTTATATTTATCTTATTTTACACGAGATAAACAATTTCTCTACACACACAAAAGAGGAATGGGTCCCACCATTCTTTTTCTCTCTCTCCTCTTACCTGTGAGTCCCACTTGTAATTTTATTCTACAACATGAGGTAACTACTTTCCTAAAACATAAGAAAAATAGTTTCCAATAAATAAATAACATAAGCGAAAGGAAAGGGGACAGAGAATAAATGTCTAGTACCTCTGCATCCTTGAGAAGAGGAGCTAATTGGAGCCCTGAATTGACTTCCTTTGCATCATATATCACTCTCACTTTTCCATTATTTTTGTCCTTCAATTGTACAATATTGCATAACAAATTGGATAAGAACTGTTCTATAGTTAAAAAGGCATAATTCTTGAAATTAATTTGGGCATATTACCGGAGAATAACTAATCGAAAGGAAGTTTGTCGATTGTAATTTTGATGAATCAATTTTTTCAACATTAGGGGGAGAGAATAAACAGCTGGAAAAAGAAATTGATTGAAATGCAATATCATTATCTCATTTAAATCCTCACACAAAACACTGTGAAATTGAAGTTCAAAAGATAATTCTTTTGCAAAATATTGCAAATCAACTGCCAGATACTTTTACTAACCTAGCAAGAGTTACTAAATCTCATATTCCAGATGTAAATTCTCCAATTCGAATTGATGTCCCAATAGGACAATCTGCTAGTGCAAATGAAACAAAATCATGCTTAAAACGTGGAAGACCAATCGGTTCTAAGGACAAAACTTCTCGAAAAAGGAAAAGAACAAATGATCAAGATAGTCATATTATGAAGACAAGTACTTATAGAAATCCTAAAGATATAACTTTACATAAAACCTCAGGGAAGATTCAGGTACCTGAAACTAATGGAAATGAAGATATCTCGATTAGTTATGTTACTTCAGGAAAAAGATGGAACCGAAATGATATAGTTGTCGACAATATTTTTGCATATAATGTTGCTATTGAAATAATAAAACAAGACAATGATCTTGAACCTAAAGTAGTTGATGAATATAAACACAAAAATGATTAGCAAAAATAGAAAGACACAATTCAAGTAGAATTGAATTCACCCGAGAAACGTAAATATTTTGGACCTATAGTTCAAACACCTGAAGGTTTAAAGTCAGTCGGGTACAAACGGGTTTTTGTTTGAAAACCTAATTAGAAAAATGAAGTCGTAAGATATAAAGCACGACCTGTAGCATAAGGGTTTTCACAAAAACCTAGAATTGATTATATGGAAACATATTCTCCTGTGGTGAATACAATCACCTTCAGATATCTTATTAGTCTAACAGTACGTGAAAAATTTGAGATGCATCTAATGAATGTTGTTACAGCCTACTTATATAGTTCTCGAGAAATTTGTTGACTTTGAATGAAGTCCTCCGTTTCTTTCGGAGGTACTGACCCGCAACGAGGCAGAGTTTTCACAAAAACCTAGAATTGATTATATGGAAACATATTCTCCTGTGGTGGATACAATCACCTTCAGATATTTTATTAGTCTAACAGTACGTGAAAAATTTGAGATGCGTCTCATGAATGTTGTTACAGCCTACTTATATAGTTCTCGAGAAATTTGTTGACTTTGAAAGAACCCCTCGAACTTCTCCATGAGTTGGAAAGGCAAAGCGTGGTCGAACAACAATGCAAAACTCCATCCAGACACGATTGTGCTGCTGTTGGACAACCATTGATACCAAGGTGCAACTGCACCCTCCATTTTCAACCCAACTAGTCGTACTTTCATATGATCAGGGACTCGTTGTAAACAAAAATGCAATTCTATTTTGAAGACCCGAGTGTTAGGATCTTTACCATTAAAGATCGGAATCTTCATCTTCACCAATTTACACAACGTTCTAGAATCAGAATTCTCCATATTCATGTGTGAATAAGCAACATGAACAGGAGATTGATGCGAAGTTTGTGGTACCAGCTCCCGCAAACGAGCATTAATTGCAGCACAACGAGCGTCCAACGAATCAATGATGTGCTCCAAACGTTGTTGCACCTCTATTCGATGAGAGGCAAATTCCACAGCTAAGTTTTGAACCATCATGATGGAAGAGTTTAAGGCAATGAAAGCACCGGTTAACACATATACGAATGAAAAAGACAAACAAGAGTTTTATTATTCACATGCATATACAATACATGGCTATATCTTTTTATAATATTTCTCCACAGGGAAATTTCTTTGGTGTTACGGATGAATCGTGAACTCGGTGCATCTTCTATTCATATTGTAACACGTGTTTTACTTTTGTCAAATCAATAATAAATAATTTATTTCAAAATTAAGAGATAGAGTAATTTGATATAAAATAAGACACGTGTCACAATATGAATGGAAGATGCACCGAATTTTCGGTGCATCCGTATTACGAAACATATTCTACTCTCCAGCTAACTAGTCACTTCTAAACAACCCAAACTTCCTAACCATTCACGTAACTGCCCTCCCTCTTTTAACAGACTATTACATTTCATCACGTGTTGGAAACTCTAATCTACTAAACTCCACAATATTATTCATTTTATTTTTATTTTTTGTAATACTTCACAATAGTCTTTAGACCATACAGGTTCACGTCTCTGCCCGGATGGCCTCATACCCGTCACATCATACACACTACATAGTAACAATTATTGCGCTACAATGGGGGCAACTGCGACCCATTTATGAATAGGTGAACAGTCCCACCCTACTTCTTTACTATAAGATACCATAAAATGCTTAGGAACCCAAGTTTCTCCTTTTGACTCTCTTTCTCTCAAAAGCTCCCTTTGTCTTTCCTCCACTGCTTGCTTTGCTTCTCTTGCTTTCTCCCACTCTTTGCTCATAATGGCTTGGCTCAATTCACTCCAAACATGGGCTGATTCTGTTGGCCACACACACTGATCAACAAGAGAATTCCTTGTCAAATGACACATAAATTACTAGAACAAGAAGTTTAATGGTTTGATGTGTATGAAAGTACCTAAATATGCTTCTTCTTTTTATAAGAGAATGTTGCTACAAAAGATTTTGGTTCATACACGAAATTACTAATAAATAAAGAGAAATATATTTCGCAAGTTGCATTTTGTCTTATGCAACACAAAAGCAATAGATGGGATCCGCTAAGGAAAAAAAAGAGAAAGGGAAAAGAAAAAGAAAGAAAAAAGTGGATCTCATCCCCTTTCTGTGTTTGCATGAAACAAAGTGAGAGACATATTTCCCGTAAATAAATAACATAAGCCAAAGGAATGGGGCAGAGAATAGACGTCTAGTACCTCAGCATCGTTGAGGATAGGAGCTTGGAGCCCTGAAATGACTTCCTTTGCATCATATATCACTCTCACTTTCCCATTACTTTTGTCCTTCAATTCTACTATCCTGCATAACAAATTGGATAAGAACTAGTTAAAAAGGCATAATTCTTCAAATTAATTTAGGCACGTTACTAGTGAATAACTAGTCAATTATACAACTTGCCATTAATCAATGTTTGCATAACTTAGCTTCAATATAAGATTTTTTTTCCTTTACTTCTATTATTATGCACTTTACATACTTTTAGTATATAAATGACAAAAAAAGGTGAAAGTTCAGAGATGTGCTTAGAAGGAAGATAGTACCTATCCCAATGACCATCAACTTCATATAAAACTTTCAAAGATGAAGAGTCAATGATCTTCCCTTTGATCACTTTACGATTTCCTCCAAGGCCTAGAAAAGAATGACTTGATCTGAAGGACAACTCAGCTACTAGGCCAGTCTCTAGGCACCGTATATTAACTGGACCAACCCAATCAACTCCAGGAATCGGAAGAATTCTAAATAAAAGGTGAGGACAATTCATTTCATATGTTTCACCATGATTTAGGAGCTTCAGTTGCCGTTTACCACGCACTTGAGCTTCAACTGATGTACCTACATATTTTATTTGAGATATATATATATATATATATATATATATATATATATATATATATATATAAATCCACATATTTTACATAAGGAGCTATACATTGAGAACTTCAAAGTTGAAACCGACATATATACTTATTCGAGATCATTTGTGAAGAATTTAAGAATCCAAGACAATCATTCAAAATTGTGATCAAAACATCATATAGGCAATGTATTGCATAGATGTGGATTCAAATAAACATAGACATTGTGAGGCTTTTTCACCTTTTTGCCCCTTATTAATTAATTAATAACCATTTTGCCCTTGATTCGAAACTATTTATCAATCTGCCCCTCTTTAGTCGACTACCTTGCATTTTTAATCGACTAAATGGTCAAAACAGACAAAAAATGGCTGCTGGGAGATTTAGTCGACTAAATCTCTCTATTTAGTCGACTAAATCTTCATATTTGACAAAAAAAAATAAGTCAGTATGATTTTAATCGATTAAGTAGGGAGATTTAGTCGATTAAATCTCCCAACAACCGTTTAGTCGATTAAAAATGTAAGGTAGTCGATTAAAGAAGGGAAGATTGGTAGATAGTTTCGAATTAGGGGCAAAATGGTTATTAATTAATTAATAAGGGGAAAAGGGTGAAAAAGCCGACATTGTGAGTTCCTAATGTTTTTTGTCAAAATATAAAACTATTTTTTGGGTGGGCTAGAAACTATCAAATGTAGCACTTAGAAAGGTGAAGATACCATAAAACTTTGGAACAGGTTGCTGGCACCATATCATTTCTATGTTTTCCTTCTCATCTGTTGCATGGAGGGCAGTTACTGGAGGGTGGTGTGAAACCTGCAGACATGGATATCAAGGAAATCAGAACAAGGTAAAGTTTTAGCATTATGCAGCCAAACTAAGCATCTGGCAATAAAGTTATATATATAGAAATAAGGAAATGCAGAATTGAGAAGTAAGTACCTGCTCCAGTAACACATTAAGATTTCCCTTTGAAACATGGTGTGTCTCACCAAGAAGGGGATTATAAGGAGCAACACCAAAAGTGGCAGGGCGTGTGGTAGATATGCACCATGCTACCACAGATATGAACCTATCAAGTGGACTCTGCCCAGTGTTGCACATGCTTAGCAAGTCCAAAGCATTGCAATACACCGATTCACCATAGCACTGAAGTTGTGACTTTGGTATGTTAAACATAGGTGACAGCTGCAAATCATGAAGTAAGGCAAAATATTTTCATCACTCTTTGTAATAATACGATGACCCAAATGATAGTACTAGCATAATCAAATAAATGAAATAATATCCAAACCGTTCTACCTACACTCTATCTATCATCCTCATTCTCACACAGATTATGAACTTCTTTAGAAAAAAAAATTATTAGTCCCTTATTTATCATAGTGTAAAATTAAGTTAGAATTTATAAAAATTTAAAAATAATTGTTGGATAAGCCAAAACAGCATTACTTATTTAACTAAAATCTAAAAATAAATCCAATAGGTATAGCTTAGTTGGCAACACATGCTAAATAAGTGAGAAGAAAACTTGGATTCAATTTCTACCAAATACGTCTTAGGAGAGGGACAAGATGATTTAACTGTGACTAAATCCCGACTCAGGATTAATTACATGGTCAACTCAAAAAATTGGAGTTTGTGAAAATATCTGGAACCGACTCGCTCAAAAAGTTAATTACGGTCGTTGTACTAAAAAATACTTTAACAATAATGCTAACTCATTTTAACAAAAATTGTAAAATAATTTTGAATTTTTTTAGTAATTTTTATTTGAAAGAGGTTATATTTACTACCTCTTACTACTAAATCTTAACCGTTGATTTCTGCCAATCTAATAGTTATAATTTATTGAAAATTAATAATTAATTAATAAGTATGACTCAATAAATTACAACTGTTAAATTGACAAAAATGAACGGTTAAGATTTAGTAATAAAAAGTAATAAGAAAAAGAGATAATAACTATAATCTTCCTTTTTTTATTTTATGAGTTTCTAAAATTTTAAATGTCTTTTAAGTTGTGATAATTATTTGGGAGTTGGGATATTATTTGGTCCCACGGGGGTAACAATTTTGACTCAAAAAACATAAATGTACACATTAATGTTAGTGCCTTTAAGGATAGTTGACAAAAAAAAAAAAACAGAGTAGCAAACTTGATAGGCTATATAGTTCAAGCCAAAACATGGAAAGAAGAGAAGCTACCTGGAAGCGCGTGAGATCAGATCCTGGCCGTACATTCTTGAATAAACTTAGTATACGTTGCAAAAGATTAGGAGATCTATAAGCTGCGTCTGAATCAGATTCGCCTCCCAATGTCAACGGCTTCGTGAGCACAACTTTTATCTTTTTCTTCTCTTCCTTGTTCCCCTGCACCACCACTTCTCATATTTTTATTTTCTCAAACATGTTTCTACACAATGATAAAGAAATAGACACTGATGCTCACAAATTATATAAGATATTTGAAAAGTATTATACATATATATGACATTTCCTATAAAAAAAAGAAAAAGAAATTATCGTATTTAATTAAATTTTCTTATGGAAAGTAAAGGCCACTAAGTTTTGACCTGCAAATTGAAAGTATGAATGTAAATAAATCAGTCGGCAGAACACGATATATGGCTCAGCTACTGTATATCAAGTCAGATTCAATTTATTATATACAGTCATATATATCTTCAGGCGTAAAAAAAAAATTTATTTAAAAAACAAGTCATAGATTTTTTTCATTTTTATTTTTTTATAACAATCATAGATTTTTTTTTTACATGTAAGATTTATAAGCTTATAAATCGACTTATATCATATTATTTATTTTAAATAAAATAAATAAATTATTATTTTAATAATTTTGAATAATAAAGTAATATTATTTTAATTATTGTATTTATAATAGCTAGGCTTAAACAGATCAACAGATTTAGACCAAGATTTTTAATTTTTAAATATAAGTCAAATCAAACTTATAATTTAAGTTTACACAAGTTAACTGACCAAACCTGACTTATTTAAACCAAAATTTAGCTTAACTCAACCTATTTACATGCCTAATTGGAAGTAAAGTAGAATCCGCCGAACATTTATAGTGGACAAAATTTGACCATAAAACAAAGCTGGAGAAGAGAGTTCTACACCAAGCTAGTAAAAACAAAATTAAGGTCTAAACCGAAGCAAAGGTTAAATTTTTTTTAGTAGACATCAAGATTTGGATTTCTTTTTATTATAATTTTGGGCCTTGAAACTTTTAAAAATTTAACAAAATCAAGGTCTAAACAATGTCGTATAATGAACTCTATTTTTTAGTTTTGATTCCTTTTTAGAATTACTACGTTTCTAGATTTTCTGTAGAGGGGTTTTAACAAAAATAGGACCTGTCATGTTATAAAAGGGAAAAACACAAGATATGCCATCCTTTAAAGTCAATCAAAACAAATACAACTAGGTCGACCACATTCTAAGGCATTATGCATGTTAACTAAAGAACAATAACATCAACCTTTTCTTGTTTGGTTTAGCTTTCACATGACATGAAGGAGAATCATATTGTAAGATATTACATCCATACTCTTTGGGCTTTTGTCCCTTTAATGTACTAAAAAAAAATATTACATCCATAAACCCACAAATATATTTATATAATGATTATTTTCTATGTCGAGAACAAAGAATGTGTAGTTGCATGGAGTGGATTCTCTCGTGTTGAAAAAGACATGACATCATAGCACATGATCATATAAATAACATCAATCATAATCATACAAAGGTGAATCAATGGTAATAAAAGAGAAAGAGAAAAAATATTAAAATAAATAGTTACTAAATTATAACCGTTGATTTACTTTTATATGATTATAATTGTCTCACATGATCATATTATATTTTTATTAAACATAAGAGGATCCATTTTGGTGGTTGTATATGTGTATGCATGCGTTGGAATATCACTCTTTTCGACATCCAAAGGCTAAACCACCTTCTTAGGGGCAGGAAAACAGCCATCCATACCCCAATAAAAATAAAAATCGCATAAATGATCATATAATATATACAAAGAACAAGAGATATCATATATCAAGTATGTCTAAGAAGCATATATAAGAAGAGAGATCACAGCACATACCATCTCAAAGTTGAAGAAGCAGTAGATTGAGAGAGAGAGAGAGAGAGAGAGAGAGAGAGAGAGAGAGAGAGAGAGAGAGAGAGAGAGAGAGAGAGAGAGAGAGAAGTGTGATGTTAAATAAGTGCGAGCACTGTTATAGATGAGCTTTGAATGGTTCTGAAAATAAGGGAACGAAAATGAAATGGCGCTGAGGCATAGGTAGAACCAAGAACACATTCAAATCGGTATATTAATTATGTGTCTCTATATATACGTGCGTGTATGTTTGTGGTTGCTTATTCCTATTTTCGTAGCTATTCACTAACGATATTGTTAGTCTTTGCTATACGAGAATTGAATGTCGTGTTGCATGACATTTTTTTTGTATCATGTCACTATTACAAAAAAAGTATGGCCCCATCTTATTTTTTTATTTTTATTTTTTAAGTGGGACACACATCAAATTTATTAGAGTGACATAACACAAGAAATATTATGCAACATAGGCATTCAATTCTTTCCTTTACTATAAATACTCAATTTTTTTTTTAGAATGATTATATATAGTTCTATTGAATTAGTGTAGTAATCCTCGTAATCATTATATAAAGTATAAAATGTAGTTCAAATTCTTAGCAAGTCCAAAGCATTGCAATACACCGATTCACCATAGCACTGAAGTTGTGACTTTGGTATGTTAAACATAGGTGACAGCTGCAAATCATGAAGTAAGGCACAAGATTTTTATCACTCTTTGTAATAATACGATGACCCAATTAATGATAGTACTATCATAATCAAATAAATGAAATAATATCCAAATCGTTCTACCTACACTTCATCTATCATCCTCATTCTCACACAGATTATGAACTTCTTTAGGAAAAAAAATTATTAGTCACACTTATTTATCATATTGTAAAATTAAGTTAGAATTTATAAAATTTAAGAATAATTGTTGGATAAGCCAAAAGTCAAAAACAACATTACTTATTTAACTAAAATTTAAAAATAAACCCAATGGGTATAGCTTAGTTGGCAACACATGCTAAATAAGTGAGGAAAGAACTTGGGTTCAATCTCCACCAAATGCATCTTAGGAGAGGGGCGAGAAGATTTAAATGTGACTAAATCTCAACTCATGATTAGTTCCATGACCAGCTCAAGGAATTGAAGTTTGTGAAAATTAGGGGTGTTAACTTACAGAAAAAAAACCACTATGTTTATAAGTCCAATGATACAAAGAATTAAAAAAGGTTTTTTTCTGTCTTTTTAGGCTTCTTTCCAACATACCGTCTCATCATTTGATATAAAGATCCTCCCTCTCATCAATAAGTTGGTTCCATTCCATAACTCATTTATAAGTTGACTCATCTATAGAGGGTACCGGCTCATACGGGTTTTAGGGGTCGGGGCTCAACCCCCTGAGGAATTGTTATTTCCCCTATAGATCAAGCGAAGATCATTCGCCAAGCGAATGAAATGGGTCAATGTAACACCCCGTATATATCCAGTTTGTTAACATATCATCGTATTAAGCCACACTTAATTTAAAAATGAGGAATATCTTTTTCTTTTCAATTATGACGTCATTATTCATTACCAACTTGATTACTTAACCATTTTCAAAACATCGCCTGTATGTAAATTGCAAAAGACAGCTAACTGAAATACCTCAATTAAATAAATAACATAAATATGTCTCTAGTCACGGAACTACAATACGTAGACCGGACAACCCTGATAGTTTATACAACTCAAGCTATCCAGTACTAACATCAAAGTGGCATGGACAAACCCCATGCTCGCCAAATAAGGCAACACATCCAACAAGAGTCTCAGCTCAATAATCATAAAAGACAGAAAACATAAACAACATCCAAATCCAGTCATGTCAGCATACATCATAGATATATCAACTAAGCTCCGGCCTCCTGCCGCCAGAGGCATCAGCCTCCAAGTTACCTGAACCTGAAATAAGCGTCCCCAAACGTGGGGTGAGATCTCTAAACAAGAAATCTCAGTAAGACAAGGGGTCCTCAAGGATCTTCCACCCCAAGCTCACTTACATGTGCAATATAAATTCTAAAAGCAGTAGTTCAATATAAATTCCAAAACTATGCAGTGCAACAGATATCCATGCCATGTGTGTATAACTATTCTACTGGCCAGAGAAATGCAGGACGTACGTCTACAACCCCACAATAAGTACAAGGAACATCGCTTGCACCTCACCCACGAAATCACCATCTTGCATGCCCCCACATACTCAGGCTTACCGTATAGGTGGAACACCACATACATATCATAAAGGCACTCGCATATAACAGCTCAATAACATTTATCAAAACAATACATGAAAGCAACATCATGCATATAACCATCCCCCTATGGGACATGGTGGAACCAATAATGGCTAAACCGAGGACACGAAAGCTTACCTTGTAAGCTAGCTATCCAAACCAAGAGTCCACACAAGCTCAAGGCCCACAAATAGCACAATCACAATTTGTTTAAGCAATAATTAATCATCAATAATCATTACTCAAGATTACACTAGGTGATTAAGGCTTTCTTACTCATTTTAACTCATTTCATGCTATTTTTGCAGAAGGTATTCGAATACTCCACGAGTAGTATTCGAATACTCCATCTCTCTAGAAAGTATTCAATTACTTTCATTTAAGTATTCGAATACTAACAAGTATCTGAATACTTTTCCCCCCAGTATCCGAATACCACAGTATCCGAATACCAAACCTTACTGTATTCGAATACTTTCCAGTATTCGAATACTTCTTCAAAGGTATCCGAATACTTTTCTTCCCAGAAAAGTATTTCAATACTCCTGCAAGGAGTATTCGACTACTAGTTTAAAACTACAGTTGCAAATCTTTACCAAATACTCTAAGATGTTAATATGTTAAACTAGACATCTCCAGATTTCCAACGACATATTTTACGTCTCAATTGGAGTTGTATAACTCCGGTTATGATTTTTGCAAAGTTCCTACAACAACTGAATTTCCAGCAATAGGGTCGAGACTTCAAACATAAACTGAGAGCAATACACTTATCCAATGGATCTAAAAATTTACATGGTTGTATCCCTATATGTTATCTTCACGTAGGTCTAAACCTCACTCAATTTAGAGCCCTGTAGCTCAAGATATTGCAATTTTACTAAACAAGGTGGCTGCTGTCTTGCGAAGTATTCGATTACTGCATTTTTTCAGGAAGTATTCGAATACTGCTCGAAAAGTATTCGAATACTTCTTTGACAAAATGCAGAAAACTGAGTTTTAAAGGTATAATTGACCTCCAATGATCCAAACTTGATCTGGAGTCCAAGAACTCCTTAAACAGATGTTTATTAACATGCTTAGGACTCAGAAACACATTCCTTTATTCAATTGATCAAAGTTTTACTTTTTAACCGATTAAGCAAGCTTAAAATCATCAAAAGACGAAGAGGTGTTCCTAGTATACCTCTAAGCTCCAAAAATCCGAAAATGAGACACCATAAGGGTCCTCAACACAGCACCAAAGTTCTGCCACTTCCCAAATACGAAATGCACTACAAGCTAGGACCTTTCACCATCAAAATGGCTCCTTGAAGCCTCCAAAGACAAGTAGGTGGCTTTCTCCAAGAGAACCACCAACTCAACCCCCACAACCTCTCAAACTCAGAAGCTACACTCAGAAATGGAGCACCTTTCAATCTCTCAAGGCTTTAGCACACTAAAATATGAAGCCTTTATGAAGAAATCAAGAGTAAAGGTACTTTCTTGAAGGTTTTCTATGGAGAAGAAGGCTAGGGGGGGTGACGGAGAGGGTGGCAGCCAAATGTATCAGAAACCTCTACGTAGGCACATCAAAATCTGACCTAGGTTATTGTGCAAGTGGCTATATATAGCCCACTTAAGTTTAATCACACTGTAATAGCACTAATAGCTACGCTTAGAATTTAAATCCCAAACTTAGAATTCTGAACCTACTCATTTTTCTAGGATTTATCATATTTTTATTTTATTTTTCGCAGCACCTTTCCAGCAGGCGTTTTTCCATAGCCAGTATCAGTTCTGTCACCAGTTCTCATTATTTTGACCTGAAACTTGTTTTACTAGTCCTATATAATATTCTAGGAATATTCATGCACTTATTATAATTTTTTGGGATACTACATCGATACGTATTTATACCGAGTAGCAGAATCGGTATCTGCACTTTTCGTCAGAAAAGTGACTTTCAACATTATTACTCACTTACTATAATTATTAAAGCCTCATAATAATTATTAGGGTCAATTATGGAATTATTTCCTAATTTCTCTTAATCAATTCATTAACTTCCTTAATTAACGATGCGGGTTCTTACAGTCAATCTCTTTTTGGCTTCGGCCAAAGACTTTTTATTCGGCCTGTGGCCTGGTTTATTTACAAAAAATAAAAGTCTGGTTTAGTGTAACACCCCGTGTATACCCGGTTTGTTATCATATCATCGTATTAAACAGCGCTTAATTAAAATGCGAAATAAACTTTTTCTTTTCAATTATGATATCATTATTATTAACCAAGTTGATTACTTAATCACTTTCAAAATGTTGCATGTATGTAATTGCAAATAAACATCTATCTACACTGAATAACCTCATAACATAAATAAGTGAGTATCTAAGTCACGGAACTACAACACGTAGTCCGGACGATAATCCTGATACATTAATACAACTCGAATCTAAAATAAGACATAGTCAATCAATGTGGGATGGACAACCCCCATTGCTCACCAAATAAGGCAACAAGGCCCAACAGAGTCTCAAATCATACAACATGATAATAAATAAATAGGATATCAGCATCCAAGTATATCATCATAATCAGCATATAACTAACTCAGCTCCGGCCTCCTGCCGCCCGAGGTCTCAACCCCCGAGTTACCAGAACCTCAAATATGTGCCTCAAACGTGGGGTGAGATCTCTAAACAGAAATCTCAGTAAGACAAGGGGTCCTAAAGGATTTCTCCACCCCAAGCTCACTTACATGTGCAATATAA